GAGCGCCTTGAACTAAATTCGGCTACTCGGCAACACAAGCTCCGCTGGACTTCCGAGCCGTTCAGGAGTTTTCTACTTTCGGGACTTTTATTCCCTCAGTTCATACAATCGTTTTAAACTAAGTGGTCCTGATACGATAAAATGAACTGCATTCAGTTATTTGTGCTGGGATCTGAGCGCAAGTTCCCTTACCTGTGCGCCCAGGTCCCAGCTATGTAATAAAGGGTTTAGTAACTGCCTAGCAGGAATATTATGTCGGTTATGGATTTTAATGTAAAAACTGTATTTCTCTGTACCAAGAGATATCCCATTAGCAATACATTCTGGGGTAATTATCTTCTTGGTACAGCAGTGTATGATGGGTAATTTGTCTGTAAACTCAGTCCCCCATGTAGTCCCCTCCTGGACAAACCCTGCAATGTGACTTGTGAAACCCTTTACATTTGTAACCACATAAATGTTATGCCCTGTGATTAAAACCTCAGTTGACCTCCGTTTAGTTCTTGGGAGAAGGGATTGTAACTACGCTACCTGGATTTTGCCTGCTTTGTATCTGCTTCATTCTGTTTGCCAGCTGAGATAACATGGATAATACTACTACTCTGCTACATAAAGAATATAAAAAAACAAAAAAACTATTGGCATATCAATGCTACAGGATATTGTTCATAAGACTCCAAAAATAACGTATAGAGGAGTCCCAAATATTAAGTCCCATGAAGTAAAAAGTAGTTTGATCCTTGTCTGCAGGTAGCATGGTCCTCTTGGGCACAAACATGCACAGTCTTTAAGACTTAATTCCACGCACTTTATTGTTAAACTCCACCACAGATACAGCAGCAAATGAAAAAAAAACATAAAACAGTAACACAAATCCCTATAAACAAAAACCTAGCTCGGTCTGAGCACTTACTAACATCAAGTTCCCTATCTCTCAAGGGTTAAAACTATAACAGAACAATAATTGGTTTCACCAACCTAGTGCCTTTGTCAGATCTCTGCACTCCACACTCAGTTAGCATGTGACTAGAAAGAAACACAATTTTCTCTCCTTTCTGCACTCCAGTGCTCTCAGCTAGCCTGCTGCTTTCCTTTCTGCACTCCCAGTGCTCCAAGCCAGCCTTAACTGCTTTCCTTCTGCACACCCAGTGCTCCAAGCCAGCCTTAACTGCTTTCCTTCTGCACACCCAGTGCTCCAAGCCAGCCTTAACTGCTTTCCTTTCTGCACTCCCGGTGCTCCAAGCCAGCCTTAACTGCTTTCCTTCTGCACTCCCAGTGCTCAGTCTCCTTGACTCACTCACAGGAGAGAACAGTGTCCCTCCTTCCTGCTTCCAGGGAGGAAGCCAGCAATCCCCCCTTACCTGCCAAGCAGCGAGGGGTTTATTCCCACTGCTGCAGCTGATTATCTGCAGCTGAGCAGTGGGTTGGAGACAGATCAAAACTCTGGCCTGGAACTTATTTCTCCCAGTTGTATGCAAACTGCGGAGTGGAGCATTGGCCCACCCTGCTCTCCAAATGTTACACCCCGGGGGCCCATAACTAAACTTTGGTTTGTGTTGCCTACAACACATACTACACATACTCCCCCTGGGGTTAAATGTTATAGGTCTGTCTTCCTTCACTTTATCACATATCCAGCTAAGACCCATCGGGGCGAGCGGCCTTCAAACACAAACCGTGAACATTCATATCGCCTAGGGCTGTACCAGCCCTGACTAGCTTCTCAGTTACAGGAAGTGGCCTATTGTAAATGGCAGCTACCTTGCTCCCTTGTAGTTTAGGGAGCCCCCACCCAAAAGGATAACCCAAATAGTTAGCATCCTCTAATCCTAGATAACAGTGTTAGCGGTCAAACCGGCAGCCCTTACATTATTCACAACTAACTGGACATTCATCAGGTGTGCTTCCCAGTCCACCCTATGAATCACCACGTCACCAAGGTAGGCAGCTGCATACTCTCTGTGGTGCCAAAGTATCCTATTCATCATATGCGGAAAAGGGGCCGGTGCACCATGCAACCTGAATGGCAGTACTTTATGTTGCCATAAACCCACGGGAGTAGAAATTGCTGACCTTCCCTTTGCTTTCTCTGTCAGGGGAACCTGCCACTACCCTATGATCAGGTCCAAGGTACTCCGATACCTGACCTTACTTATTCGCGCTTGCATTTGAGCTACACGTTCCATAGGGGCTTTATTAAGTGGAGATTCTACCTCATTACCCAGGCACTCCAAGGGTGTCTTTTCCCTCTAACCCCTGTAGTTCCCCATTGGGCATTTTCGGGTGAGCTGAGAATTTTTTCCATATGTGGCGGAAATGGGGGAAGTTCCTCCCTAACACCACATCCAGGGGTACCACGCCTATAGGACATTTAACCTTAACTAACTCTGTGACAAACTCTGCTGTGGGGTATGTGTGGGTGTCACCATGTGTACACACAATATCAATCATTTGTCTTGTATCAAATTTCTCTGGCTGGAGCAGAACACTTTTCATCAAAATAACATCACTCCCTGAATCAATCAGTGCTTGTACACTCTTCCCTTCCACCATCACCACTTTAAGCTGTGCTGTAATACCACCACACACATCTTTAAGCAAGTTAATACAATCCTATGCAGAGCCCTTATTACTATGTCACATTGTATTGGCTCTTCACTCTCAGGACAGTTATATGTAATATGTCCTTGCATGTGGCAGTTGAAGCATCTGAGTTGTTTCTCAGTCTGGTCTCGTAGCCATAATGGGACTTTTGGGTACGTTCTATCATCATAGTTATATTGTCCCAGGCTCAGTATCAGGTTTTGTCCTTTCTCTCCAGTTTCCCCGCTTATCTGGTTGCTAGCGAATCTAGGCTGAGGATCAATACTGTGTGGCTCCTTAGCAGCCAAGTTCCTCTCAATCATCATCTGCTTCCACATCCACAGCAGCTTCTGGTTTGATAATCTCTCAATGTCCAAGTTACGTTCAAATGCAAACTTTACAACGGCTTTGTGTGTCACTAACTTTTCTATATCACTTATACGTCCGATTCTTTCATGAGCTGAATTTTCTGGGTGCTCAACCTCTCCAAGACCTGGTTCTGTCACCAGCTCATCTTCCACTGGAACAGGTCCCTCCATGAAGGGCTTCACAACATCCTCCATCTGTTCTGTGAATCCCTGGGAACCTTCCTTGCTCTCTACGGTTAATGCTTCAGGTCTCATCTCTATATCCTCAGGGGGTTGGTCAGGGAGGCTGCCTAGAGCACCCTCCTCCTGCATGAATGCAGCCTTTGATCCCAGCTCGGCCTGGCCTGGTATGGAGCACTGTTCTTCTGCCGGAGGCCCAGACTCCCGGCTTAGCTCATCTTTCCTTTGCCTGGTTTCCTCCCCAAGGGTATACTCCGCCTGTTCGGCCTTGAGTGGCCACCTCTCAATGTCAGCAATGCTTTCCTCTGAGCTGTTGGGTGGTCTCCCTGCTCCCTCGGGTTTGTCCAGAGATGCAGTCATGGACTCTTGTTGGGTAATGACAGCCCCGGTATCAAACAGCTGGTCAGGCAGTCTGAGTCCCGCCTTTAATTCCATGGCTGTGTTCCCAGAATCTGGCAGCTGTTCCAGGTAGTCAGTGCACCCAGGCCTTGTAGCAGTACCAGGTGTCTCTGAAATATTTTATTCTGCTACGCAAATGTAATCTACTTTGTCACTTTCGCCTTGGTTGGGCTTAGCTGCGGACGGGCCCATCTTATCATCACAGCTTGGTTCTGTAACTTTTGCTCTCTCTTGGCTTAGATCAGAAGCGGCTACTTTGCCTTTCTTATTTTGACTTTGTTTTGCCACTTCTTCTCTGCCAAACTGTTCAACAGCTGGTCGACATTCTTGGGTAGCCTCGGCTACTAAACAGTGCACCGCATTGTTATACTCAACTGGAGTGCTTTGCTTCTCTTCATTTTGCTCATCTCCTCTGCTGTTGTCTTCTCTGACTCCCAAAGTCAGTCTGCTTTTCATGCCTTTGACTTGTTCACTTGGGTGTACATCAGGGGCTTCGGTTTCATTTTTCTTTCCCTGGCTGTATTCACTAGCTTTACCTACACCTTCTTGGTGGTATTTGCTTACCACCAACACTTGACCTTGCATACATTTTTTTCTCATCTTTGCAGTTTTCTTTAGGATGTTTCTGCATGCTCTAGTCCTATCACCTTTACACTGCATATTTTTACTTGTCTCAGTCTTTATAGCACAAACCGGTTTGACACTGCTGGCCTCAGTCACAGTCATTCTTTCTCCTTTTGTTGCCTTGGGAAGATTTATCAGGACTCTTTTCCCAAAACCTCTGTTGTGATGCCACTCAGAGCAAGTTTGAGGCTTTCACGTGAAGCTGCAATGTTTTGATTCTCAAATAAAAACTTGTAAACTTCAGTAATCAGTTTGTCTCACTCTCCCTTCCGATTCTTCTGACCTTTCTTACTATGGTGCATGTCATCAGTGTCACCATCACTGTCTCTTGACAATTCCGCTTTTTGTTCCTTGTTTTTTGTTTATGCAAAAAACTGCACTTTTACTGACGATATCATCGTTAAATGTTTTACTGTTTTGAAACACTAATATTTGTGTCCAGCGAAGTCTCCCGAGTAAAACAGTGCCCCCCATGTACAGGTTTTATGGTGTCCTGGAAATTTACAGGGTTAAATATAGGGCTTGTGAACCAAATTCTCTGGGCTTTCTGCCTGGGTTATCAGGCAGGTCCCTCAGATTGTAAATAATAAAATGACTTAATTATGTAATAATATTATATAAATATATTTGTAGGGGGGCGTGGTCTGGACATCTAACCCCTGAGCTCCTCACCACCAAGCTCCTAAAAAGCAAATTGCGACTTACTCACTGCATAAAATGGGGCGTACTAAACGCCAAGAATACCTGCAAACCCCCAGGGGGGCATCCCAGACCTCCATTTTGGGACCCACGGATGAATTCCTACATACCCCGACGGGGCTTACCCACGAGGCGCAGGGCCCCGTAATGGCGCCGACATCCCATGCCTCCACTGCCTCGGACCAAGATCAACCTACACTGGCAGACATAGGGGCAGAAATCAGGCAACTAGCAGCAACTATGGTCACCAAAAACAGCTTGCAAACGTTGGCAACAACTCTCTCGGCCTCAATCACAACGGCGGTCACGGTACTCCAGAATGACTTGGACACGCAGAAAGGCCGCATCCAAACGCTGGAACACCAGGCCCAAACTGCCCACCAACAAGCAACGGCCCCAGACACTGCTGTAGCTAGACAGGGCAACATGCTCCTAGCCCTGAGGCGCCAAGTGGAGGATCTAGACAACCGGAGCCGTCGCTCCAACATCAGGGTCCGGGGCATGCCTAAATCAGAGGACGGGGAAAACGCAGAGGAACTCCTGACTGGACTGTTCCTCTTCATTATAGGAGCTGATGCCTCGGCGAAGATGAGATTTGATAGAGCCCACCGAGCCTTGCGACCAAGACTAAGGGAAGGAGACCCGCAAGATATTATATGCTGTCTCCACTCCTATTCACTTAAAGAAAAGATAATGAGGGCAACCAGGACAAGAGACGCGTGGAGGTATCGAGGTGCTGAGGTATCCCTCTTCCAAGACCTCTCACCGATGACCCTGGAGGCAAGGAGAGTACTGAGACCTGTCACAACGGTGCTGAGGGACAGAAACATCCCATACAAATGGGGTTTTCCGTTTAGCCTCCAGACCCGCCATCACAAGAGTGGCTGATTGCATGCTGACCTGAAGAAATACCAACCTTCTTGCGCAGACTGGTACTCCAACCCATCACTATCTCAGATTGGATACTCAACCCGATAGACCGCAATGCACCATCACAAGGGCTGCCTGGACGCCCCCGCAGGAGACCACGGGAGACCCGCCAGCACCTGACCCCCAACCTACCGACAGACCCGGAAGAGTAGACACCCGCCGGGGTCCCGGGAGATGCCTCCCAAAGGCCACCCCCAGGGCGGACTCAGCACACACCCACATCACCGCATCAGCTACAACCCCCACGCAATCTTCACACACAGGACCCAATAAAGTACATGCTCACACAAACCACACGGGGGCCCCAATAAGAGATTGGAACAGCTCCCCATACGGGAGCGGAGGGAGCACGTCCCCAGTCATTTCCGTCCCTAGCCCAGTCGTAAGGGACTGCCTGCGGCGCCCCGCCCGCTCAGGGCACAATGAAACCACAACCACCTTAACCCCACCGCGCCAGGGATCAGCGGCGCAAGTTACTAGCTCACCTCCCCGCCCAGGGAGAAAGGGATGATACGGGCAAAAACTAAGGGCAGCGCTTAACCGGCATTATACTACTGCTGCCAGGACACTTTGTACACATCTGACTCCAACATTCCATGCACTAAGGAACCCAGCAGCGGTGGGACAGACCACCACAACTGGCCTGCCAACCTGCAGCCCTGAGCCACAAACAAGAACCCACCTACTCCCAGTGGGCTCTCCCACACCCACTGCCTGTGGGGGGGATGACCCCTAGGAACACCCCCACACACTACCGCTTCCCACCAAGTAGCCATCAGCCGCCCCACCTGGGCTACTTAAAATGTCACCCACCATGACAGCGGTGGGACCATGGTGCCTCCACACACCCCCACGGCCCACCTGACCAACATCAGGTGACTCCCGGGACACTGTAAGTGATGCTGAAGCAACCCAACTCCCCGCACACTGGGATGCCCACAGGAGACTGACCCACACAACGTACACGACCCCAACCCTGAGTGGTACTCTTATCTACAACACATGCTGCGCCGCATTCACCATTAGACTATATACAAGATGGTGTACAGACACCTGACGGATACTATCCCCCTGCTACAAATCTACTCGCTGGATGGTTCCACGTACCTAAAGTGGGACTACTTGAGGAGCCGAGACCTTTTCCCCCACACACGTTCGTGTGAATACCCCTACCCTGCGGGGAGCCGCCGACGTGACACTGTAGGCTAACACCGGCAGGTCCGGTCATCGATTGCCACTGCAGTCACACGAACGCCCTCAACTAGAGGGATACTCGTCCCCATCCCTTGGGCGACGCACCTGTCTCTTCCCTGAGACACACCCAACCCCTCCTCTCCTGCCTTCCCCCCCTCCCCCATCCCATTCCCCCCCTAAGTCCAACCCCCACCCCACTCTACTCCCACACTACCCCCCTACCTTAACCCCCTCCCACTCCCCACACCCTGATACCTGCCCACCGGTCAGGAGGAGAGAAAACTCTCTAGAGGGGCAGACCCTGTACGCAGGAGCACCAACGTTGAGACCCACCATGTACCCGCAGCCCACCCCTTCCCTCGACCACTGGCCATCCACCAGAACCGAGATGGCCTACGTCCCTGACCCATATCGGTTCCTCACCCTGAACTGCAGAGGTCTGAATATCCCAGAACGGCGGACCCAACTGCTGAGAGACCTGCACAAACGCTGTATCTCCATAGCCTTTCTGCAAGAAACCCATTTCAGGGAGGGATCCGTACCTTCACTAAAAAGCAGGCACTACCCCACTACCGCCTTCAGCAATCACCTCACCACCCAAAAGGCGGGAGTGGCGATCCTCCTAAATACGAAACTCCAATTCAAGGAACAGGATAGACTCATGGACCCACAGGGCCGCTACCTCTTCCTGAAAGAAGTCCAGAATTGCAGATATACCTTCGCAACACTCTACGTACCCAACCAAAACCAGTTCCAACATGTCCGCAGGACCCTCTCCAAGCTCTCTACGTTCACGGAAGGAACGCTCATCGTAGGAAGAGACTTCAACGTCCCCCTACATCCACTTCTAGACACCTCTACGGGCCACAGCAGTCTCCCACAAGGGGAAGTTCGGAGCATCCACACAGCCCTGAGAGGCCTAAGACTGGTTGACTGCTGGAGGACAACACATCCCGCTGACAGAGAATACACATACTACTCTGCCCTCCACAAACGCTATGCGAGGATTGATTACCTCTTCTTGCAACAAGAACAACTCTCGACACTGCAGACATCGGAGATCGGATCTGCCCTGTGGTCGGACCATGGCCCGGTCACGCTAGCAATGGACTCCACACAGGTGAGTCCCACCACATGGACGTGGAGACTACAAGACTCCCTCCTCCTGGACCTAGAGACATGAGAAAGGGTAACTGAGGACCTGACCACGTTCTTTGACCTGGACACGACGGCCGAACACACAGCAGCTACCATATGGGAAGCACATAAGAGCGTAATCTGGGGCACATTGATGAGACTGGCTTCCAAAAAAAAGAGGGAATCCCGTCAACGGGTTTCCAACTTAATAGAAAACATAACAACACTTGAAATGCAGCACATACAATCCCAACTCGAATCAACCTACGTGACACTACTGGAAGCACGCAGACGCTTGAGAGAACACATCACCTGCTCCCACTACCAGAACATACAACGATCAAAGGCCTTCTTTTATCAACACGCCAACAAAGGAGGGAAACTCCTAGCAAGGATGCTCAGGGGACCCCAAACACAGGCCCAAGTTCATAAGATACGACTCGCCGACGGCACGGTGACCCAATTCCCAGACAAGATCGCCACAGAGTTCCGGAACTTCTACTCCACCCTGTACAATACTACACACCCCAGCCAACAAACTATGGATCAACAACGCAGGATACAGGATGTGGCGAAAACCGACCTCGCCACTGGGCATTGGAGAAGACTGATTGCCAGCCTCCTGCCATGTGACTATGGCCCCTGGGATGTATTGCCCTTTAAAGACATGATTTGGGCATAATGGATTTGTGTTGTGCTGCTGCTGGTCCTTTAAGAACCATCTGGGAACATATTGTGGAGTTACTGGGTGGCCACCATTTTCTTTATCAGAGGCACATGGTGAGAACAATGGATGAAGCACATGGTGAGAACAATGGATGGCGGCCATTTTAACTCACAGACACTGTTTGGACTTTTCAACACGGTGCCATCTCACCAGTATTTGGTGCACAGAGACATTGTGCAGTGGTTTTGGACTATACAGCAGGGGACACATTATACAGTGATTGTTTTTCATTTAGCCTGTATATGTTCTGCAGAATCTGCATTAAACTGTATCTTCCAAAGTACTGAACGGATCTGGGTGAATTATTATGGGGTTATTGCATGCTTTGGGGTCCCTGTGATGTGTTTTATGAAACTGTATTTCTCTGTCTGTGATAATTAGATTACGCATTGTGTAAGGTAATTGTATTACAGGCAGAGGGGAGGATTTTGTGTGGGAGTGTCTGTGTGTATTGTACAGATTGATTGGTTGTTCTGTAAAACCCTGTGGGCAGTACTAAATTTGTGGATTGGGAATGTATGTGCCAGTACAGTCAGTTCCTGCTTAACCCTCAAAGTGAAGTGTTGTCTCATTATTGGGGGAGGATTCATTGTATGCTGTTCCAGTTTGACTGCTAGGAGTGTAAACCTATTCGCATGGTTTTTCCTATTCGGCTGTATACAACATTCATATGCTTGAGAGCATTCACATGCTCCTACGGTTCGGTGGTTTTGGTGTCTGCTGCAGTGCTTGGAGTCCTCAGGAAGTGCTAGGAGCATCCTTCAACGGAGGTACCCAGTCGGGGTGTCAGGTGAGCCGTTACACAGGACTACCTAACGAAATACATAACGAAGAAACTCCAACCAGATGAACAGGAATGATGAAGTAGCGGGTGCAATCAAAGCAGCCAATGGACGGGCGGGCGCCTGGACCGGACGGCTTTACCCTGGAATTCTACAAAAAATTTAAGCTCATTCTAATCCCAAAGCTCGCCCAAGCCTTTAACGCACTCACAAGACTTTAACGTTCCACCAGGAATCGCTGGCAGCCACCATCACTGTCCTCCCGAAACCGGGAAGGATCCTGAACTCTGCGGCAGCTATAGACCTCACCCTGAACTGCAGAGGTCTGAAACTTCTCACGAATATACTGTCCAATAGAATAGGCACCCTACTACCGACACTCATCCACCCAGACCAAACAGGTTTCATCCCCGGGAGGGAAGCCAGGGATAGCACCCTACGAGCCCTGTCGATCCAACACCTGACGAACCACTCTAAGGATCGGACCCTACTTTTGTCAACCAATGCCGAAAAGGCATTTGATTGAGTAACCCTCCGAGAGATAGGCCTTGGCGCAAATATGATGAAATGGATCACGGCACTATACAATAACCCAAAAGCTAGGGTACCAGTGAATGGCTCCCTAACAGACTCTTTCACGATACGTAACGGCACAAGACAGGGATGCCCACTCTCACCCATGCTGTTCACGATCTCCCTAGAGCCCTTCCTGGAAGCAGTCAGACAGATGGAAGAAATCCGTGGTTTCACTTGGAAAACCTCAACACACAAAGTTGCTGCATACGCGGATGATCTCCTATTCTTCATCACACACCCGGAAACCACCCTCAATAGACTAATGGAGATGTTCAAAACCTATGGAGAACTGTCAGACTTCAAATTAAACACAATGAAATGCGAAGTACTCAACCTCATGGTGCCCACGACAGACGCTGATGACCTGCAACGCCGATTCCCCTTCCGGTGGTGCCTATCCCACATGCGTTACCTCGGAACAGTGATCACCACGGACACAAATGCACGATATCAGGCAAACTACCTACCCCTCCTCCAGTGAATCCAGCGAGTCCTGGCGAAATGGTCATACCCCTACATCTCTTGGTTAGGCAGAATAGCAATTCTAAAAATGAATGTACTACCTAGACTACTCTATCTCTACCAAACAGTACCCCTAGCCCCACCAACAGCATTCTTCTCCTCCCTATGAACCGCCATGATCCGCTTCGTATGGAACGGAAACCAAGTACGCCTCTGCCACGACTTGCTCTGCCTACCGAGGGCATGGGAGGCTTAGCACTGCCCGACCTACGCAAATACCACCAAGCATGTGCCCTACAGAGAATACTAGACTGGCACGTCCACCAGAGACACAAACAGTGGGTTACCTTGGACAAGGGCCACATGCACCCAACCCTCATTCCGACCGTGTGGAACATGGGACGCTTAACACCAAATACCCTTGACCCGTGGCCCACACACTGCGAACATGGGATAGCATCAGAAGGGCCACCCACCTGTCCCCTACTCCAAGCCCATGCATCCAGGTACAACACAACTCCAAGATGGGGGAGGAGCGCCCCCACAAAGCTGGGCCTTCATAGGTGAGGGAGATACCCTCCCCATACACAAAATACTACTAAACGCGGATCTAAAACCGCTACGGGAAATGAC